TGTGTGTGTGTGTGTGTGTGTGTGTGTGTCTGTCTGTATGTGTGTGCGTGCGTGCGTATGTGCACGTGCTCACGCGTGTGTGTGTATTATGAATTACACCAATATTCTTAATAATAATGTGTGTTTTCCAGCTAGAGATGTTGCGTTGCCATGCACGCCTCAAGTTGCTATGCGAGGCCCGTGGTGAGGACGACGAGGAGGAGAGAAGCCTGTGCTTACGCCATGAGGGTGTGATGAGACAGCTAGTCCTGGAGATGGACCTGTACTGTGGGGTATGTGACCAGGTCATAGGTCAGAGCCCTGAGCGGCTGGAACCCTTGTCCTGTGGTCACTTCATTCACGCCAGGTAGGTCATAATATTCTTATGATTGTCTGCGTAATTAAAAGTTTTAAACTTTTCTCGTGTGTGTTTTACTGAGTGCATCTGTGTTATCGAGTGTCTTTATTTTACTGTTCTCTGGCGTGAAATCGCCGACTGTGTGGATCCGCCTGTTTAGTGTGATTACCTGAAACGCGTGCACACATACACACACACACACACACACACACACACACACACACACACACACACACACACGTGTGTGACATCGTGATGAAATCAAGCGCTCGTCAATATAATGAAATCATAAAAAGAGACACATGTCTACCTGTTGTGCAATTTTTCATAGATTGTTTTGGGAGGCTTAACACCTTTTATATTACCCGACTGCATAATGTACAGAGGCATCTCTTTATTAAGTCTCGCGAGGAAAATATACGCAAAGATACTAGAACAGCGGATAAGACCGACTGTAGAGAGAACTCTGAGCAAAACTCAGTTTGAATTCCGAAAGGGAAGAAGATGCACGGATGCTGTATTCGCATTAAGACAGATATGCGAGAAAACAAACGAACACAGCAAAGAATCCAACATCGTCTTTATAAACCAGGAGAAGGCTTTTGACAGAGTTAACCATGCAAAACTCTGAAAGACACTCGAAAAGTATGGCGTCAGAAAACAATTGTTAGATAATGTCAGAGCTCTATACACCAACAACAGAGGCTCAGTAAGAACGAAGGAAGGCAACACCGACTGGTTCAAAGTAAGGTCTGGAGTACGACAGGGATGCGTTCTATCTCCCATCCTGTTTATAATATATATGGACACAATAGCTGCAAGACGCAAACCAAAGCCCAGAAAGCCTAAATGAACTTATATTCGCAGACGACCAATGTCTTATTCATCCAAACCAACAAAGCCTCCAAAATCACACTACCGAACTGAACAAAAGCTGCGAAAAATTTAGCCTGAAAATATGCACTTCAAAACAGAAGCTATGAAAGTGAGCCGAAACCGTAGTCCTCTAAACATCCATGTCCATAGTAAACAACTGAGACAGGTGAAGGAGTTTGAATATCTAGGTAGTACTTTTTCTGAAAGCGGGTCCATAGACAGAGAAATAGAAATGCTAACTCAAAAAGCCAACACTGTCACCTACCGGCTCGCACCCCTCATATCTCACCCAAACATCTCTGTGGACACAAAGAGACAGCTCATCACCCCATTATTCATAGCAACATTATTCTACCAGTGTCAGACCTGGACATTAAGTAAAACCCATGAAAGCAGAATTACAGCTTGAGTAAAGAAATGTCTCCTCAAAACCCTTAACATCACAAGACGAGACAGGCAGAGAAATGAAGAAGTAAGACCTGCTATCGACATTGAGTCCTGCCTGCAGAGAATATAATGGTTCGGCCACCTTTTACGTATGTCACCTGGCCAGCCAGCCTTGAGTACCTACAACACCAAGCACTCGGGCTATAAAGACCACGCAAAAGGTGTATCGAATGTGTCCTGGAAACCCTAAGAAAACTAAGAGCTGTCCTACCAAAGAAAACTGCATCTCTCCCAGACGCTTAACGGCAACAGAGGATGAAAAAGTATAAGTAAAACTAGCACCTTTTATTTCCATTTATAAACTTCTGAGTGGATTTTAATAATAATAATAATAATATAAATATCCAAAGGCACAACAAATTTCAGATTTGCAGTTATCAAGTGCGCTGAACCCTTGGAAGTTATCAAACCTGGGCAGCCACTTTCTGGCTAATTTTACTTCAGACACCAGGCGAACCCCCACCTCCTTCATTCACGAAATTTTCAACTTCTGTTCAAGATTGATGGATATTTGTTTCAGCAAAAGCTAGATAAATGAACAAGCTTTAAGATGATACCAATAACTACATAATAGTGTGGCAGACAACTGACGAGCGGCTGGTTTTACCGTGTCGTGGCACATAATACCGAAACTGACACATATGTGAGGCAGCGTGGTGGAATCAGGCTCTCGTCAAAATAATCAAAGTGAAGAAACTTGCATTTTTCCACAGGTTCGTGAATTTTTTTTCAAATTTTTGTTTTTTTTGGCTCAACACCTTTCATGCCCATTAAAAAACTCATTTCTGTATGGATTTTTCTGAAAAATGTTGATTAAAGGCACAAAAAATGTAAATTTTCAGTTACCACGGACTCTCAAGCTAAGGAAATGACTTTGGCGGCCATTTTCTCACAAATCTTACCGCTGAAAACAGATGATCCCCACCCCCTTCATTCGCAAATATCTCGACTTGTATTCAATATAAATGGATATTTTTTTCACCCAAATAAAGACTACTGAACAAGCTTTAAGATTATACCAATAACTCCACATGCCCAAAATTGACGAGAGCCTGATTCCTCCACGCTGCCTCACATATGTTATATCAATATCCACAGCGTACACCGACTCACTCATACATGATATATTCGCAATTTATTGTTTATTCTGAAGAGCAAGCCTCGATGTCAGGAAACAACAATTCAGTTTAGACAGATAAACGAACACATAAACAAAGCAAACAATCACAGACAAGTCGTTAGTTCTGTTTCTCTCTTAGACAGCGGTCGAGCATCTACCTCCACTCTCCACCCACCCTTCCCCTTTCT